ATGTCGAATCCTAATGCCCAGTGCTGCAGAGTGGAGATAGGGTCTTTATTTTTATTTATTTATTTTATTTATTTTATTTTTTCCTTTTTTGTCTTTTTTCGTGTCCGGCAACGGATTGCAACCCTCAGTGTCGCGCCCGTACCGGACCAGGACCAGCAACGGGATCACAACCCTCCATGTCACACCCGCACCTCGCTCAGCCAGTGAGCGGGAACCGGTCTGTATGTGGGATCCGAACCCTTGGCGGGAGCGCCACCGCACTCCCAAGCGGCACATTGTAGCTGTGCGCCACCAGGCCGGCCCAAGATAGGGTCTTTAAAGAGGTAAATAAGATAAAATGAGGTCATTAGGGTGAGCCCTAATCCAATCTGACTCGGTTCTTATAAGACGAGATGAAGACACAAACACACACAGAGGGAAAACTACGTGAGGGCACAGGGAGAAGACAGCCAGCTAGAAGCCAAGGAGAGAGGCCTCAGATGGAGCCAACCCTGCTCACACCTTGAGCTTGAATTCCCAGCCTCCAGAACTTCAAGAAAATTAATTTCTGTTACTTGAGCCCCCCAGTATGTGCTACTTTGTTACAGTAGCCCTAGCAAACTAGTACACATGCCCACTATGTGCCCGGCAATCTTCTGAATGGGATGAATGCCAGACTCATAAAAATTCTTCTTCATAAGGTTCTATAGAAATACAGACGACTTAGGGTTTCCAGTTCTTGTCCATTTGGAGTAGAACCCTCTCTCGTTGATGACACCTGCCATCACATGGCAAACACTGCCAGCTCTCCAAGCCACCTGGAAGAGGCAGGCGTGAGGGGGTCCAGCTTGCCCCACGGTGAGAACACAACATCACTTGTTCTCCTCCTGACCACCTTCCCCTCCTAATAACCATGTTCCCAAAAGAAACAGCGAGAAGAATAAACAATAAGAAAGCTGACACTGGCTAGAAGAAAACGCCGTTGTAATCGACCCTACCTCTACATCCCCCTGTGTCACGGTGAGCTGGAGAATGTCTGTTGCATGTTTCAAGCTATTTTTCAAGGACTGTGTCTGAAGCGTCTGTCTTTATTTAATAACTAGCAGATTGGTCTAAATACACCAGCAGTTCTCTCTCTGTGAGAACCCTGTATTTCACAACCACCTTCATGCCAACACCAACAAACAGTATGGCCCAAAAGCAAGACATGAATTCCTCACCGTGGCAGCCTCCGTGTTTATCCTCCATGTCAATCCACTTTATAGCTCTGAGGTTACCGGCCCAGGATGCATTTGGCATAGAGCCAGGGACACCTGCAGTGTTGATAAAGAAGAGGAGAGATGAGGTCCATGAGAGAAAGGCATCAGGTTCACCCATTAAGCCTCCAAGTCACGCTTCGTTTCTTTCAGTATATTCTCTTTCACATGTCACACAGATTGGTAAGCATGGATCCACCCGACTTCTGTTTCCTCCCATCGCTC